ACTCAAAATACACCACGTATTTTTGTATTATTATTATAACTCCGGATATAACGAACCAGTTGTAGTTCATTTTTCAAGTTCGTTGTATCGGGACTCAACTGTATTTGCTTTTGGTACAGCAAATGCTTTTCTTTCGGTTGTAAAATAAGTGCTCCTAAATTTTTTTTATCACATACTTCGAAAGTTGTGCGCTAAAAATTTGAAGCAAAATCATGTTTATATTACGCCCCAATGCGAATTTTAACGGCAAGTACGCGAGTTTTCATTCCATTTCCTGAAAATTCTAATAGTTTTTACAAAAGGCCAAACTCTTTTTCGTGTGGCCCGTCATCTCTTTGCCTCAAAATCCACTTTATGTGATGTAATAGATAGCAAATGAGTTAGGAGTTAAATTTAGCATTAGCGCTTGTTATTAAATAGCGCGCACGCTAAGGTGGCTTTTCTTTAGGGGTTAATGAAACTGTTGACCATCAGACCGCAGCCTGAAACAGTACACCCAATTATTTCGGTTGAAATATTTAAATAGTCAAAGAAAAACACTTAAACTCAATTCGTATGTTGATTAGATGAAGTTCAAATCTGATGGGGTGGTCACTACAGAGGGTGCGGAGTTTAGATCTGATCAGATAATCTGAAGATCAATGAAAAATGAGACGATAGTCTGACAGGCATCGAATGATATGGGAAGAAACAGTGAAACACTAATCGGGACATTTGAATAGAAATAAGACCAGCTAGCATGGGGCCACATATTCACCTTGATTTTATGAGGATTATTTTATATTTATCGGACGCGACGCGCTAAGTTCTGCTTGCTGTTAAATCATCGTTTGCAAATACTGTTTGTTTCTTCGGAAGTAAATTAAGTAATTAATTGACYAATTTTCAAAAAAATTCAAGTTTCCATGGAGATTTATTGTTGGTGCGYTAATCGACATTATTTAAGGAAATACACGTATATTCTATCAGTTGTATCAAGCTCAAATAGTTGAAAATTAASAAAAATCAATTAAAACGACTGCTTCAATAGCTAGCATTTAATTTRGTAATTTAGTAAAAACGTCTRATGCACCCCATCATCGCGATTTGTTTATCGTTGGYTGTTTTGTATACGGCGATCATCCAAACGAGTTGGAGTCTTTGAAAATATYGCCGCGCGAACAGGTACTTTCTACAAAATAGTCTACAGAAAACTGGTAAGGATGATCACTAATCTATAARCCCYTTARCTTGAACTCTTGAACTGTTTTTTCCGAAAATCATTTGAAGTTGTATGCATTATTTCCAATAACATGGCTTTGGACAGATTTCCTGCTGTACTAAACACATTTTCATCTTTCTTCCAATGACCCTGTTCTCGGTGGTTGCGTTCGAACATTTTGAAACAAAATGTTTAATTTATTTGCCTACTTTGGCTTTAACACAGTAAATAATTGCAGAACGCTGCAGTAACCGAGTACTAGAAAAAATAAAAAAGTGGTTAATGATAATAAATCGGTATGATCAAAAATAATCATGTATACAGTCTGCCACGCCACTTGATGCACCTATGCGTTTGAAGCATGTTTTAATTAGCCCAATTAACAGGTCGTCACATTAAAATAGGGTAATAAGGTTCAGAAGTACTTTGGGTTTGTTAGTTTACATACCGCCTTTCAGATAATTAAAGTCTGAGAACTAGACTCTGGAAAGATCCTTTTATATACAAGCAAATAATCATTGCTTGCTTGCATTGCGCTCAATTTTTTACCACGTTTCTTTCGGCTCTAAATACGTTTGATCTTTGATAAAGAAACGCTGATTACGGATTTACATGCGGTTACTATTAGTGAGGAAATAGGAGACAATATAAAAATAAAGAGTTTCAATCAATCAATTTTACAGCTATTTAATCACAAATATTTCACCCGTTAAAGCCATAAAGTTCCTAAAAGCCATAGTTCCAATAAATAAAAATCAAATCAGAGACCTTTTAATTTTTATAGGCTAGTTGATGAAAGATCGCTATTTTGGAAAGACTGTTTATGGCTTACCCCCTTACATGGATACATATATCACTGATAGGACAAAAGAACTGCTTTGAAATTTGACATCAAGCACAAACACTTTTATGGTTTTTAGAATGATAAATGGCTTTATGAAAATGGGGCCTGTGTTAAACAAAATGGGCAATTTTGGGTGGCATTCCAATCTTTTGTGTATTGGCCTTTAAGCAGCGAATTACTTCGCAAAAATCAATGGGGAGCCGACGGGTTTCAAACAAAAATTGAGTGGATATTTTGTAAAAAAAAAGTTATCTCGTTAGGCGTCTTGTGAGGTTTATTCAGTTGCTTCGTAGTACCAATTCACCTAGACGGGCTTTGAAATTTTCTTGGTTGAACATCATTTAACGTTGTCTCCTGAATCAGTGAAAAACATTGTCTAGTGGCATATTTACGCCAATACTTCGCTGTCGCAAGTGACTGAGTTAAAGCTGCTTAACTTTGTACCTAGAGCGAAAACTCCATATATTATTGGCATTGGCCAACATCACTTTTATGAATACGAACTAAACTTAATAAGATGCATTCTCAAGGAACTCGTGTGCTATAAAATATGCAGGTATATATTGTACCCCCTATGAAGGTACTCCATTTATAATTTAAATTCTATGGGCCGATTGGTGCCGCAACTCCAAAGAAATATGCCAGGGAATTAATAACATTGGCATCTTCGTTGGGTAATCTTTAAAAACTGAGATCCTGATAGAGAATCCATTTGAAAACATACTCGACCGCATTAGTAAAATAAATGTCTTTGAGCAGCTAATATTATTGCATTTATGAGTGCTTCAATCGATCAAGCGTGGTCATCATTAGACAACTAGCAATTTTAATATGCTTAATGATAATTTGATACACACCTACCATTTTCGAAGCCATTTATCACCTTTTTACTGGCGAGATCATAAGCAATTTAAATTTATACCGAACTAGTTTTCGAGCTCCATAATATGCTTATGCAGCTACGAGAAACATACCTACTATATTTTTAATAGGAATCCATCTATTTGCATGTTTTGAAAATAGCGTGTCTACACGATTTATTTGGGAAAACTGAAAAATTCGTTTCTATTTTGTAAATAATTTACAGTTCAACTCGATTTATGAACAACATATGTTTGTCTTTTGTATAATGGATTTTTGTGTAACTTGAATTAAAAATTTATCGGTTTTATCGGTTCCTTTTCTTGTCCCTGGTTGGAGATGAAATTAAACGCAGTAGTCTAAATATGATTCTTAATTTTATTCATTGACTTTTCATATTAAACTATTTTAATATAATACTGACTGATAGTGGTAAGTATTGCCTACAACGCTGATTTCAATTTTTAAAATTTACTTTTCTATTTAACATTTATTTTGACAAATCTAAAACATATGCGACACATCTAAAACTGAAAAAAAATCTATACAAATCTATTAAATCAGTGTATTTGCCACTGACAGTTCTACTTTATGTTGCGAGTGTCTTGATAGAGTATTTTTGTCAGCTCGGAAAATAAAAATTAATTTTTTGTATAGTTATTACCTACATAAATATCTACACGAAATACAAAAAAAACAAGATCTGGTCCTAAGCGTAAATATAATAATATATCCAAAAAGTCACAGCATATTCACATTTTAGCTCAGTACTTACAAACAGAGGGAAGAGGACAATCGAGTGGGTATCATTTACATGTTTTTTAATGAGATTCGTTCGTGCCAATAGCATACATGTATTCAGAATGTATAATTGTAGAAAATAATGCCTCCAGATCGGTTTTGAACGGAAAAACTACCATAACAATGCATATATTGTTATATTACAATTTTTTTGTTGCAGTAATTTTTTGCATGACATTTTAACTTATTTTATTTCTCCATAAAATAAGTAAAATCAAGTACTGGTTATTAAATGTTGCTACCATTTTTATCGTCGAGGACGATATTTCTTAAATGTGCACATCTAGAAGCGCATTATTTTCCGGCATTCTGTGATAAAGTAAAAAGGTGTAATCTAGTGAGGAGTTCTAACATATTTTGAGGTATATTTAGTTAAGGATACCTATTTACAAATACATACAATAAATAGAAGAAATAAATTAAACGATGAAGGATGGGCGAGAATGAATGTGAATATAATAGTCAGTCAGAGTTTGATTGGACATTATCGTTTTCGGCAGAATTTTTGAAAATATCGGGCAACCCAGTGGATTCTTCCCAATCGCTATGGGTGCTGCTCTCCATGGGATAATCTTCGTCATTTAAAATGTCATCAGGGGACGTTGTAGTTGGAGCCATTGTTGTTGTTGTATTCTCTTGGGTTACATCCACCTATGTTTTGTACAGTTTCGGTCAGTTTTGAGTTACTGAAATTCGTTAGATAACAATAGTCAACCAAAAATTGCCCAGGCAGAGAGACCAAATATTTCGAAGTGGACTCGAATTTTAGTGCAAACATCCCACATTTACACTGCATGGAATAAATTTAAGTTCAGTTGACGACTTCTGAAATCAACAAGTTTTGGCCAATTTGCTGAAACTAAATGAATCGTGTAAAAACATTCTGAGTGTAGAATTGACAAATTTAACATGCTTTAATGACGCTTTTAAAACCTTAACGAATGCATTTAACCAGGTTTGCTAACAGGTTTTGCAATGTTTCGATACTGCCCATGTAAAAAGTTTGCCGATCTCTCTGGCTGGGCCCATAAGCATTTCTTTCAGGATTTGGTTGACTTATGTTTCGGTGTCAATAAACAAATGTTTCTACAAAACTACCAGAAGTTTAACTGAAAGAGTGAATTTCCTAACTTTTATGATTGATGATGCACAATTTCAGGGTACACTAGTTGTTTGAAGGTGGATAATTAGAGATTCACTCCAAGACTTTTGATAACTCAAATATAAGTAATAATCGTTAGGCCAATGGGGGTAGACACTCAATTTGATACATCAAAGCATGAATGTTTTTGAATCATTTGGGCAGATGTAAAAAATTCAACCTTTCAGTGCGAAAAGAAGTGAAAATCCCATGATCAAACAGAACAGAACACCACACAACGGCCAATCTACAAGTAAACAACATGCACTTTTGATAAGCTAGAGAAAGGGAGATGTTGGTAAAAAATTGAATCATGTAATATTCTACTTAAAAGATAATCTTTGGTATGTATTGTGTTATACTAGAGGCAGTTCGGGAACGAGTATCACGTTAAATGAAGTCTCATTTTTCTCTAGTGTATCGCTTTAAATGACATTTCACTGCTTTTAACGTGGAAATTGAAAACAATTCAACAAGGCTTATCAAGTTTGCTTGGGATTTCATAGAGATAACAGTAACCTACTTTCCATACTTCAATGTGGATTTTTGGCTTGCTGATTGTAAATATTCCTATAGAAAAGCAGCGAAAGGTCGGAAGACAGTTAGGTATATAAGCGCTTTACTGAAATTTGATTTTAGAATGTTAAATTACATACTTTGGGTTAGTTGAACAATATAACTTTGTTAATGAAAAAAAAAACTTGCAAATCTACGTTATTCTATCACAATTCAATTATACGTGAGTTATCGAACAGGCTTTCTCCCCAAAAAAACGATGAGTACGGAATGAATTCCATTCCACCCGGTTTTTTGAGAAGTTGAACTGCAGTTACTTTCTGTTATGAAAATAGGGCTCATAAACTAAAATGTCATGAAAAAGGAGATGACTAAAAATGACTAGTATTATTTTCTAATCCTACGAAGCACTCACGAAGCATTTCGGTTTATTAATACTTTTTTGTTCTATAATTCAATTGGAACAAGATGAGTAGGTATAGTTTGGCAAAATTTCAGGATCAGCGGTTTTTCAATGCTAGTTTAACATTGATTATGCAATACGCGATGCAAAGTTTGAGATTAAATAAAGCCTTTGAACCTTGGAGCCTTTCATGCTAAAATTGAAGTTAGGTTTCCTGATTTCGTGAGTGTTTCAAACTGTTAATACAAATTTCTATATCATTGACTACATCATTATTATTAAAAGAACTACAAAAGGGCCATTCCAATCAAATCCATTCCGAAAATCTAACTATGTTTTGAGAACCTGGTCCAGTCTTTTCCTCTGCTTATGATTAACATTCTTCCTTTTCTTTTTATTGTTTTTATTTTTCTTATCTGCTCCTAACGGTTTCACACTTTTAACGTTCGTCTTCAGTTTCACCGTATTTAAGTTTCTTTGGCACTCTAGATGGTCGCGTTTTACGTCCACGTCTCCGTTGCTAGTAACGTTACTCGTAACATTACTAGCAATGACGGTGACGTTATCGCACTTTACTCGACCGATCTTATTCGCACTGTGTCTTTTTGGTTCGAGTTCGTGTTCGTGTTCACTATTTTTTCGTTTTTTCTTCTTCTTTTTCTTTTTTTTACGACACCGCGGAGGATCCGTTGGTTGTGGGTGATGCCCAGTACTTGGTGGACATTGGTGGTGATGGCGCAGCTGCAGTTCTTCGGGTGTAACACTGCGCGTAAGCACACGAGTATATGAAGACAGTTTCCCTAATTGCTGATGAGCCTTAACCATCACTTTTCGCGGCTGACCGCGTCTATTCAGAGCTAAGAAAAATGTCCGTCGCTCATTTGAGTATTTACTTGACGAGTACTTGTTGTAATTGGTTGCTTCAATCGTTTCGTTAAAGATGCATTCCTGTCCAAACTCAATCTGAAACCAATAGAAGCGCTTTGTAAATAATTAGCTCAGTTCAATTTCATCTTGCAGTGCCACCTACTTACTTATGCCTAATTAATCAATCAGTTAACAAGTAATACTTGTTGATCAAGATAGCGCGTTAAACGTTGGTAAACGACTACTTAGTGATCGGCGAAGTCGTCATTAATTGAATAAATAGGTGAGGAGTGCATTTCCTCAGAAAATGTGATATATAACGCACCATCTACCACCACTAAACTCGTAACTGAAAATACTGACTTTGTTATCTTGATGCGAGCCGTAAAAAGCTGTAAAATAATTCTCCGCTATTTAATTGCTATGTTTTGTTGTGCTGATATGTTGACAACAAAGTCTCATGCGAAGACCCGGTGGTATATGCATGGTGCAGACAAATAACAGCGTCTAGCTATCGTGTTTCTGCTCTGCAGATTTTTAAATATGCTGTGCAAGGAATAAATAGGCCATCGTTATGGGATCAATGTTACAAGAACACGTGAAATAAAAGATAGTATCTGGACGCAGATGGTGTTGCACTTAGATATCACTGACTGGACAGAGATAAACTTTGCGAATAATGATTTCCATAAAATCAACGATAACACATTTTATAAAGATTTAGTGAATTTTTAACCACCAGCAATAAAATGCGCACAAAAGATGTGATTGGTTGTCATTAACGGCGGTTTTGTATTGTTTGCTGGCAAGTTTAATGCCTGTTTTCCATAGTACTGAAATAAGTTATATTACAGTCATGATTATCGCTCTCGTTTCACAGCTTTGTCAAACAATGATCAATTTCTTCCAATGATTTGCCTAATAATCACTCTCGTAAAATAAATCATGCATGTGCATATGTGACATGTTGTTGCATTCATATGAAAGCAGCTTCCAAATAATGAAAGTACTTAAATGCAGTTTGAAAAATGTTTAAAGAAAATAATCTCACTGAGACCAAATTACTATACCTATCGGATATTTCTGTACTGAAAGTTTAGATTCTGAGGCACGTTTGCGACATTTTCTACAAATGAGCACAAAGATAACTGTGGATTATTTTTTTTCAAAGCTATATCGATGCCAACGTTCTGGACTATTTTTATTAATAGTCCAGATATAGAAAGCAGTGAGATTTGGCTTTTTCAAGATTCACCCGGAAGTGTGTGTTGCCAATTTGTGCAAAATTAGCGCTAGAAATCGAAAATACTCCCCAATCAGTCAGGTAGTTGATTGATAGTTCACAGTGCGCTAGACTCCAAAAATAAAACCTTTATATTAAATTTCGAATTGATTAAGTTCAGATGCATTTAATATTCTCGATGACAGTAAAAGCTTATTAAGTTACAGTGTAATTTATGGAGAAACATAATTTTCTTTCGACTATTTATAGAGCAGTTCCATTTAAATAACACGAAGAACGACATCCGAAAAGAACATAACTCCTAGTTAAAAAGGCTGTGGCTATTCAACAATAGCATGCCTTATAAGGTACATGGTATTTTGGAGAGTCACATGTCGGTGTTCTCTTCATAAGGTTTTATTACATATTGTCTACCCTCGTTCAGGAACCTTTTTTTATAGGTTTTGACAACGTTTTACATATGTTTAACAACACTTAACGAAAAATATTGTTAGTATTAAGTACGTGTAATTTCATTTATTTAGGTTTTCTGTTTTACTTAATGAACCGGGGAGGTAATAAATATGCACTTTTATACGATCGAACTGATAAGATAGTGTTTTTATTTTCAATGTGGGACTTTTCGGCTTCTATGAAATCTGTACAATTAATTTGAATGTTCGTGTTTCTGTTTTAATTTCAGCAATAAAGAAGCGTTAATGTGGTCAGTTGGAACAGGGTTTAATCGATGTTTTCAAGCCCTCGATAAATAGTGATGTGAACTATAAATACTAAGTGGTTTAGGGTGTTGCTTGCAAGCCGTCTAAAATCGCACATATTTCGGCACCAAGCTTTTTATTTTTTGCGATGTACTAAGTGATAATGTTACAGCGCAAGTAGGGATTAAGTGAATTCAAAATCTGGTATACTCACCGACCCATATAGCAATCCACACTCATCCATACATAAATACTGACATGTAGCGACTCCTTGAATCTTCATTTGTCCTATACTAATTGTTGTCCTCTGCAATATTGCTGAAACAAAAATTCAAAATGTAATTTTTCGTTTTTAAATGTTTCAATTGAATAATAGTAATATTCCGTTTCTGTGTGCATGGGTAGATTTTGGAGTTTTACTTGATAAATCGTATCGATCTATCAATATAATGCCGGAGCCTCTTTCCGTTATGGAGAAATGTTAAAACCCCGACATGATTCAATATCCTGTCAAGTGCCGTGGCTTTTCAAGAATACTGAAATCTTCCGCAACAAAGATTCCTTCATTTTACTTTTCTGGAAGATTATATCTCCATTCGATTACGATGAAAGAAATCCAGCGTACAGATTGAAGTATGTATTAAATTATAGAATTTATTATGGAATGAAGATACATGAAATTCAGAATTTAAAATGATAGTTGTCATACTCCGGAATAATCCAAGCGTGAAGATTTTTAAATCTGTATAATTGACTGGTCAATCCCGTAGTTAATCCTAGTAATATATTGCGATTTAAAGGAGCCATTGAACATGAAGCGAAGCGGAATGATTTGATGTGATGCGAGTGCCAGTTTTTTCTTGTCCTAATTTCAACACGCCCACCTTGAAGTGATTAAAATCGAGTTCAGTTTTCATCTCATACATACATAGTTTGGAAGTGAAATTTTTATCAACTTCTAGCATTGATAAAACAAGGCGAAGTAATCACCTAAGTAGAGATCAATTATTTTCGTTGCTTTCACTTGGCTTGCCACTTGTTAGCGTCTAACCGTGAACCTGCCGTCCGATTGAGCAGTATTAAGCGCATTCCCTCCTTAGTGTAATTGCCTCAATTACCTGTACGGATTACGTCGGTAATAGGTAATTGTAGGAGATTTAAATAAAACGTTTTTCTATTTAAATTCTCGCTGAAGGCGATTGAGCTTACCACACACGAACGCTACTCTTTTATGTCCAATATCTCAAGAACGACGCTTCCTTGCTTCATCTGCTGCTTAAGCTGACACCAAGGGCAATTCATTTACTTCTTTTTCTCTCATTTGTTTAATTGCTACTACCAACTTGTGCCAGTTAATTAATGACGCAAGTCTACCAATTTCCTAATTAGTATTTATCATTAGATTTAATATTTTTGGACCTCGTTCGGTTCAAAATATAGAGCAAAGTTATAGTAGAAACAAGGTTCCTTATAAGGATCTCTAATTTCATACTCATTTAGCCAATTTTGCTTTACTAACTACCGTAAATTGGTAGTGATTTGTATACTAGTATTTTACGTAATGCCTAAAGCGAAGTAGATCATTAATTGATAGCTTTTGATATGCAATCTTTAGTTTTTTACTTCTTTCCCGCTGGAGGCGAACTGATGTTCTGTAATGCCGTTCGACCACCTTCAGCCCACCTGTAATGCATAGAGCCAAGTGCATAAGTGTTCTGCGGAGTGACACTTTTTCATCACCATAAAAACCCAAATACTAATGTTTCGCTGCATTTTCTCAACAATTTTGCGGGATAGCCTTCGCAACGTTTAATGAATTTCCATTGTTGGGACTTTCGAGCATTGTCTGCGCGATTAAGATTGCTTGCAGTAATTGCGACAACTAAATTTAAGCTTCCAAAAGAAGAAATCTCGTGTTGCCAGCAAATGTTAAAAAGAAAAAATAACCACAGAGGTATCGATTTCAAAGTGAATATTTGCGCAAGGTAATAAAGTTAGCACTGATTCTAGCACGTAGCAGGTACGAAGAATACGTTTGGCGCCTGTCTCTTGGTTTGATTTTGATGTTTTTATTGGTTTTTGAAGATTTTTATTATTGACAGAACTAGTTAGGAGCTAACGAGATTTATGCTCGACAGAGTCGCACTTAGAATGTCCACTAATTTTATTTAACTCTAGAGAAATTACTGAAAACTGATCTATACGTCCTCATTTCGTCTGAAGAAATACGATCCTTTCTTCGTTGATACTTTTCCACACAAGCACGTAACACGTTCGTCGACACTTCATAAATAATCGCGTGAAATATCAACCATATTTCGACAATTTTTTTACCGAAACAAAAACGAGGAAGCTAGGAAGGTACCCTCATGGTTCCGAAACGTGCAACACATTAAAACCAATATTTATCACAGTTTTAATTTTTTTCATCCAGGTGCCGAAAGTTGTGCCATGTGGAACCTATACTATGCACTTTTTAAAAGCAATTTTATGACACGGGTTTAAGTCACTTTGGGATAATTCCTCAAACGATTTGTTTATTATAATTTTCATTTAAAATGCTAATGAGTCGCATAGAATTTGGGTATGGATGTATTGAACCTATAAATACGTGTTGGTTGAAAAGTACGTGCGGAGCTTAAAAATATCTTGATAATAATTCGAAATACAAAAGGTGAATAACTGTCACTTTCTTAAGTAATGTGTGGACGTCAAAACAGTACAGACGTGGTTGCAAGGTCAGCGGTCGATGGCTGATATTGAGAAACTTTTGGCAAACGGCCCTAACTTTTTTACGTTTCAGTGTTATGGAAGTATGAAAGTATGCAATAGGTGTTTATCAGGACCTACCCAGTAATAAACACATTTTATGAGTTTTATGAACATGCTGTTTTGAAACTGGAAACTGAATACATTTACTTTGTAACTCGCAAATTTTTGAGCAAATCTCCTAAAGGGGATATTCAAAATTGCGATCCTAGCACCTATATCAAAACGCTTTTAAAATATGCCGATCAGTGTTTCGTATTTCGGTCTGTAAATATTAACAGATAATTAAAGCGAGGGTGTCGGGGAACTGATAGAGTTTAAGTACATCGTTAGCATCTTGTACGATCGTAAAATTTGATTATCTAGTAAACCTACCGACGTGTTCTTCTCCCTCACAATGTGCATCGCCTTGCGACTCTTGGTTTATTTATGCATAATTTCCAAGGATGTGCTTTATGGTCTGAGAATTCACTTTTGCCTTTAGATTCGTTTCAAATGAAGTGGGATCGCAATTTTCCGAACACTAACCGCTCTTGTCGACGACCACAAGTCAAAATAAATTACTATAATTGGATATTTCACCACACCTGCGTTGTCTATTAGGCTTTACCATTTTGACTTAAAAATATTATTTTCCTAAAGCTGCAAATATGACTAGTTAATAGTTTAGTCGGGAATCTTCCGCTTCAACGACCGCCTCAAACTATTCCTACTTCTACATTTACATATTCTCAATTTCAATCTAGGATTTGCTGCTTCAACAAAATCAAATTTGCACGTTAAAAGCATTAAGCTCAATTCCTGTGAAGAAGATTACTTATACAGAACGGCATCTTGATCTCAAATGAAGCACTTGTATGCAAATTGAATGAAGGATGTGTTTGGCCTAACGCATCACGTATTTAAGGCTTATGTTCATAGAATATTATACAGGGTGGTGTATCTGTTTGCACTCTGAATGTTCACCATACCTTGGCGCATCGCATTTACATACACGTACGAATATCAACAGGAAACTCGAAAATTCCATAAACTTTCGACAGGCAATCATTATTAAACGTTAACGCGTTAAACCTCCTTGCTGTAGACGAAATTTGCGCAGGTTTTCGTTTGCAAATTGCTTGTTCCAACAGGATAACGTACCGAGTTACGAACACTTTAGATGTCCGATTAACCTAAATAAATTTGGAAGCACTTTATTCATAGAATTTAGGTCCGAATTTTGAGTGCAACAATTTCGATATTCAAAAAACAGCAGAGTTCCGCATTGTCTTGGCCGCCAATCAAATACCACCGCTTACACAGATCGAAATGTCAACAGCATAATCAATTTAGCATAAGCTGCTCATCCGTTATACTCAATACTCAATTTGTTCATGTCAAATTTAAGGTGCTTCGAATTTGTCTGCTTACGATGATATGTGAGCAGTAGATTTCCGATTAGCTGGTTCCAAAAGATCTTCTCTAGGTATCTTCTTCGTCTGCGTTTAAACAAATTACTTGCTTGGCAGAAAAATCACTCGGGATAGAGCTTCAAGTCCGCAACAATTATAGGAGCTGATACTTAATCGGCAAATCGCTAGTAGGTTAAATCACTTAGAATAATTGATGATCGTTAGGGCCTATCGTAAAATGCATTTGTCATATTTAATCATTGATATATAATTCACCGTGAACATTTATTAAGTACCCTCTAGCTCTCATCCATTAGATATTAGTTTTTACAGTGCAATAAATTCCGTTATTTTCTCGCATATTCGATAAAATCTAATTAATGAGAAAGAACATTAACAGTTTAAGTTTATTCAGTACATCATCTTAAAAGTAAATCGACAACATCGGCCTTTAAGTAACTGACTGACCAAATTTTATATATCGATAATGTAATCTTAGTATTCGTAACAGTAGGGCCGGTTTTAAATGCCATGCAATATATTATTCCGTTTTAAAACCATTTAATTGTTATGTTGAAAAACGCATATATTTTATCCTTTCGAGATGACAAGATATAATAGTACCGCGTTTGTTGCTCTAAAAGCCGAACCGTCTTATAACATAATTTTCTTAGAATAACGTCATATTTATGACGTAAGTTATTGTTGGAGGATAATACATGTAGGAAATGTCTCATAAGGGGACTTGGGCATGTTAATAAATTCGTGATGAAAGAATCTATTGGAGATTGAGATTTCCTTATTGCAAGGCCTCGGTTAATTTTAGAGGCTTCACTAGTGCGAATTTACTTGAACATGAAGGATCATCAATTCCCATGTGATGAAATTCTCAAAATTAATCGGCTAATAAAAAGGATTTTCGCTGTTTTAATTTGGGTGTGCGGCTACACTAATTGGTACCAACACTACATCAAAAAGTCTTGTGGATTGCCGGCAGAAATAAAGTTTTCAATGAGGTCATTAAACAATTAGAGTCAGATGTTAAAAGAGCGTAAAGAAATTGCTCTGTGACATAATAATTAAGATCAGCTTTATTAAACTGTTGCTAATATTAACACCGATGCGTTATTTTTGGATTGGAGAGTATATATATTT